TCCCAGGCTGCGCCAAGCGCGCGCGCGCGTTACTTGCCCGCGCGCTCGCATTCGCGCAAGCGCATCCTAAGAAACTACGATTTGGATCGGAACCGGGCGACGACGGGCATGGGGCGCCTGTCAAGGCTGTTTCTGGGAGCGATTGCTGCTGGCTCGACACGCGCGATATGCATGTGACGACTTTTGGAGGACGGGCGCTGCGCCGCCCAATCCAACGCGGGAATGGCGCGGTCCGGGGCGCGCGGCCGTCGCGGCACACGGCGGTCGACGTGACCGCATGGGGCGCAAGATCGGCCGCGCGGCATTTGCGGGCCATTCGGCCGACGCTGCCGGGTCGCCCTCAAACAACCCGCCAGGAATACGCAAATGCGCAATGCGCCAGCGCGCCGCCAGGATATCGCCTTGAAAACAACCTGTTCTCCCTGAACGCCGACTGCGCGCCACGCTGAACCAGCGAAGTCGCGCGGCGCGCCCGCGCCGCGGACCCGCCGCAATGAACTCGCGGGAAAAAAGCCTCTCTCCATGGGTTCTGAGACCGAGTCTGGCCTACTTCCCCGTTCTGGCCGATTCTGGTTCCATCGCCGATTCCTCCTTTGATTCCGTATTGATTCCGTGCTGATTCTTTTGATTCCGCTAGAATCAGGGGTCGCAGTTGTGCCGATTCTGTTTTGATTCTGTACTGATTCCGTACTGATTCCTTTGATTCCCCTGTGCCCCGGGGACCATCGGGCCGCGGCCCGAGCCCCCGTCTCGGCGGCATGGTTTTTCCAGGAGCGCGGGAGAGTTTTGAAGGGGAGGGGGGCGGGGGGGGGGCGGGGCGATTTTTGGGGCGCATCGGGCGGCCGAACCGCAGATTTCCGGGCCCAGTGCGCACGCCCAACGTGGCAGGCGCGGGCGCGCGAGCGAGTTCTCGACCGTCGGCGCATCTGTAAGTTCATGCCCCGCCCCGCGCGCGGGAATGGAAACTTGGTCTGCGGCTTCCCATTGAACGCGCGGCCGTCGCCCACCATGCTGCTCAGCGCGCAAAGCGCGCGAGCAGCATGGGGGGCTTTGCGTTGTCGCATGAGAAGTGCGCGGGGCCGAACCGAACGGTCGGCGGCGCCCGCTCCTGCGCCGCGCGCGAGGCCATCGCGTCAGCGCGGGAGGCTACAAGGGCCTGGGCCGTCGCCCTGGGGCGCGGGCACAGCGCGAGGCCCGCGCGGGTCTCTCGCGCCAAACATGCGCAACAAGGTCGGCCCGCCCGCCGGCTGGCCCTCGCGGGCGACGCGACGCCGGCGCCGACTGCGAGGCCGACTGGGCCCGGAGGATTCCTGAGAGTCCCGGGAAGGGGCAGCGGGCCGCAATGGAATCGGCGCGGTCGTTGGCGCCCCCCCCGCGCCCGGCCCCCCCTGCAAGCCGACTCCTCCTACGTGTGAGTGGTGCGCCGAAATGTACCCGAAGCCTTCGGCTGCGCCCCCAGTGGGGCCACGAACCGTGTGAGGGGTGCGCCGACATGGACCCGAAGCCTTCGGGTGCACCCCATGTGGGGCCACGAACCGTGTGAGGGGTGCGCCGAAATGGGCCCGAAAGCCTTCGGCTGCGCCCCCTGTGAGGCCACGAACCGTGTGACGGGTGCGCCGAAATGAGCCCGAAGCCTTCGGGTGCGCCCGATGTGGGGCAGCGAAAACTTTCGGCTGCGCACCTTGTAGGGCCACGAACCGTGTAAGAGGTGCGCCGAAATGGTCCCGAAGCCTTCGGCTGCGCCCCCTGTGGGGCCACGCGCCGTGTGAGGGGTGCACCGAAATGGACCCGAAGCCTTGGGGTGCGCCCCATGTGGGGCCACGAACCATGTGAGGGGCGCTCCGAAATGGGCCCGAAACCTTCGGCTGCGCCCACATGTGGGGCCACGAACCGTGTGAAGGGTGCGCCGAAATGGACCCGAAGCCTTCGGGCGCGCCCGATGTGGGGCCGCGAAAACCTTCGGCTGCGCCCCCTGTGGGGCCACGAACCGTGTGAGGGGTGCGCCGAAATGGGCCCGAAACCTTCGGATGCGGTCCCTGTGGGGCCACGAGCCGTGTGAGGGGCGGGCCGAAAGAATCCCGAAGCCTTCGGCTGCGCCCCGTGTGGGGCCACGAACCGTGTGACGGGTGCGCCGAAATGGGCCCGAAACCTTCGGCTGCGCCCCCTGTGGGGCCACGAACCGTGTGAGGGGTGCGCCGAAATGGGCCCGAAGCCTTCGGGTGCGCCACATGTGGGGCCGCGAAAGCCTTCGGCTGCGCACCTTGTAGGGCCACGAACCGTGTGAGGGGTGCGCCGAAATGGTCCCGAAGCCTTCGGCTGCGCCCCCTGTAGGGCCACGAGCCGCGTGAGGGGTGCGCCGAAATAGTCCGATGGAACCCTGTAGGGGCTCTATGGGACTCCGATGGAACCCTGTGGGGGTCGAACGGGAGTCCGATGGAACTCTGTAGGGGTTTTATGGGCGTCCTATGGAACCCTGTAAGGGTCGTGTGGGAATCCTATGGAACCCTGTACGGATCCCACAGGATCCTCCTGTAGGGGTGCTTTGTGTTGTGTTGTGTTGTTCCCCCCCCCCCCCCTCCCCCCCTCCCCCCCCGGGGGGGCTTGCCCCGCCTGTATCAACAACAACACCAACAACGACAACAACAATCATTCTAAGACTGCTCGCTCCTATCTGCCCGCGTGTCATTCACTGCGCAAATCCCAAGCCCTGGACACACGCCCTCTTCGTGTTCGATCGTACCCCTCCTGGGGGGGTACATTTCTTTCCGGCCACGTGTAATTGGAAAAGCGCGGGAGGCGAACCCGCAATCAGAGGCAGCGAGCTCTGGCACTTGTCGGTGAGACCCCATTTCGCTTGTCGCAAGCAGATATCAGCGGCAATCCACACTGAGACCTCATTTCATTAGCCATAACGCTGGGGTCGCTGCGCGCAGGAAAGCGAAGTACGACAGTGGACAGTGTTTTTGCCCAACGGCCCCGTGGGAGGTGAAGTCGGAACCCGATGTCATCAATCACATTGATGGGACTCGCGCGTGCGGGAATGTGATTAGCTATACACAACAACGAAGCGCCATTACTACAGCGCCAGGATCTGCTTGTGCGAAAAGGGTAAGCCTCAGCAGCAAGCGCTGGCGATGCTGCTCAGCGTGATGTGGAAGGCAACGCTCAAGGAGACGTGGGAGGTGAACTGGGGCCCGCCGTCGCCGGCCACGTTGGGGTGAGAGCTCTGGCAATGTTCGGGGGCACATGGGAGACGATACCCAAGCCGAACGTCACCAGCTGCATCGCTGGTACCGGCGCGTGCGCGGCAGGCCGGTTGTCCCAATGGACTTTGGCGCTGCCCAGCGGGATGTTCACGGCGAAGTTGGAACCCGATGGCACCGCCGAAGCCCGCTATCATCAGGTACAATGCTGGATCAGCACGTGTGGGGAAGTCCTCAGATACAGCGATGGTGTGATAAAGATGGCTAGCGCGTGTGAACAAGACGGGAGGTCCCAGGCGGAAGCGCCGTTATGAGAGTTCAACGTAGCTCAGTTGCGCGGGAGGTCCCAAGCGGGAGCGCCGTTCCTTGAGTAAATTGTGCGGAGATCTCAAGCGGGAGCGGGGGCCTGAGCAAATTGCGAGGAAGTCTCAGGCGAGAGCGCCGATCTGGAGTAAATTGTGGAAGTCTCAGGCGGGAGCGGGGGTCATGAGTAAATTGTGAGGAAGTCTCACGCGGGAGCCGTTGGTAATCCGGTGGGGCAACAACGCAGTTTGAGGATCAAGACTCACCCTGTCAAAAAACAGGGTGCGAGCGTCGAGGGGCGCACTTTGACTGAGAAAAAACAGTGTGCACCGGTGGGGGGGATCAACAATAATTATTCTTCAGAAATGAGAATTCAACAACAACAACAACAACAACAACAACAACAACAAACAAAAACGACCCAAAACCGGTCTGACACCGGCGCGGTACAGGCCCCGAGGCCCCACGACCACCCAGCAGCGACGATCAGATAATAACAACATCCATGAAATTAGTTAACATCACCGAGCGCGTTCCACTAGTCGCGAAGTGCCTACTTGCAAACGTCCGAAAACACATGTCTGCTTTGATGTAATGTATCGTAGATCCCCCGCGGGGGATCCAGGCCACTTGCGAGTAGCTACTTTGCGCGCTCGTCGGTAACAGGGAGGCCTGGACGTAAGGAGAAGAAACTGAGGACATGGTATACCGCGATGTCAAACAACGCAATCCCATCACATGAACCGCTGAATCACGGAGCTCGAGCGCAACAAACATGGCTCCTTTTGGTTAGCGTCCTGAATGTCCGTGCTTAGATCCAGAAGCGCTATCACAAAGATATCTGACACGCCGAATGAGAAAAAAAGGTAATGAACACGCACAGGGCATATTTACAAAACTGTTGTTATACATCGACAGCGACCGCTGTTCGAGGCGGCCTCCTGTCTCAAATGGACTACGCCCGCCGTGGAACTGCCGCCAGCCCTCGCCCCCATTCTTGCCATACCCATTTCCCATTTCGACCGTACCGAGCTGAGCATCGTTTAACCGACCCCTGTCCCCATGGGTGTGGCTCCCCACTGGCCGATGTACCCCCCTAGATTGGGGATGTAGGCCATTTCCTTCGGTCGTACCCCCTTCTGTCGTACCGTCAAGTCGGGCCTGTCCCCCTACAGGGGGATCTTCGACGAAAAATTTAAACATACAACAATAATCCACAAATGATGGAAAAATGGTCCAGGGACTCTTTTTTGAGTACTGTTTGACCTTCTTGGGGTATGCTTGGGGCATTTTTTTCATTGTTCGTCGAAGACCCCGCCTGTAGCGTCGAAGCTGCGTCGAACGTCAGTCGAGCTGGGTCGACCCTGCGTGGAACCTGAGTCGAACCTGAGTCGAACTTGAGTCGAACTTGAGTCGAACTTGAGTCGAACTGGAGTCGAACAGATCCGTTAGGTGGGCTCCAGGAAGGTCCCCGAAACGAGCATCGAATCAGGCGTGCCGTCGGCGCCCTCCCAGCTGGAGGCGCCGCCGGCCATGCGGGCCCGCCGCCGCAGGGTGGCCGCGGCCGCCTCGCGGCGGGCCCCGCGGAGGCAGGGCGGGAGGGCGACGCGGGGAGCGCAGAGGAGGCGGCCGGAGGGCAGAACTACGGGGAGGACGTGCGCGCTTCGGGCGGGGGATCGACTGCAGAATCCATCCACCAAAAAAAATCATGTGTTCGTTGAAAAAACTTATAATGTCCGTAGGTCTACGATAACTCTACGTTTTTTCTGTTCCGTAGGCTCCATGTCCGTAGGCGGGGAGCGCAGAGGAGGCGGCCGGAGGGCAGAAATACGGTTACATCGGGCCTGTCCCCCTACAGGGGGAGTTCCGACAAAAAAAATGACAAAAAATACACTAAAAATAATCGAAACATAATCCAAAAAAAGTCTGGGGACTATTTTTGGAGTATTTAGTTGTACCTTTTTGGTGTACGTTTCGGGTATTTTCGATTTGTCGTTGAAAATCCCCCTGTAGGGAGACACGCCCGACATAAAAATATGAGGAGGATGTGCGCACTTCGAGCGGGGGATCGACTGCAGAATCCATCCAACAAAAATAACAATGTGTCCGTCGGATCTACGAAAAAAACAAAAAAACTATAATGCCCCTAGGTCTACGATAACTCTACGTTTCTTTGTCCTGTAGGCTCCATGGACAAATCAAATCTGGAAGGAATCAGTTCTGTTGTCGATCTAGGAAGGAATAAGCACGAGGAGGCTACACGCACTAATTACGGGCTTGAATCATTGTGGACGGAATGACGGGAGCAAGGCAGATCGCACTCGCGTGGGCATGCAGCAGAAAACAAAAAACAGAGGGAACCCAAGCCACGACCACACTAAATAAAGACCTTATGGTAACATAAAAGAAGCGCGCTGAACTTTTTCCAAATGTGGCGCACCACAACGAACGGAGCACTGCCGGAATCCCAATGCAACCGGACACTGCCCGCATCAGTGTTTCCAGCCTCCCCGGAGAATGCAGGAGGAGACTCGAGTACCCAGCGCGTTGACAAACATGTGTGAGGAAAACTCCTGCACGTCTCGCGCAAAATCTCGAGACCCAATGAACGTCGGATCCGCGTCAGACTCACGTCGGGTTCACGTCAAATTGTATCGGATGTGCATCGGAGTTTCGTCGGATTCACGGCATTCACCACGGACTTACGCCAGCACATCGCCGCGTGATCGTGCGGACTAAATACAACTATTCCGCTGTTCCCAAAGCCTCCCAGGATTGTCCTCATTGCAAGCGCTTTGACGAAAAACAAACTGGTAATCTGTTTGGCAGTGCTCCAATCGCCATGCGTAAGGGCCGACCCTGGATGAAAACCTGGCCCCGGGGAAGGGGTCTAGAGTTCTGGGGGCCGTGCTACCGCAACAACCACATCGGATATCTGGGGAGCAGGAAGGAGGGGAAGGAGGAGGAGGAGGAAGACCAGTGTAAACCCAAGAATCATCAACGATGTTGGAGTAAACCCTCTCTCCAAGCTCCCTGTCCATAGGCCCCTACAACGGTCCATTTCCAATGATAGAACTGCCTCGTTGGAAAAGAGACCCGTTTGACGACCCGGAATCATGCCAAAACATTGTTCTCGGGATTCCAACGTCATGGATCAACCTGACTGTTGCGTCTTGACGGTCCTGACTCGCACCAGAATGCCATTCCTGGGACTTCAACACAGAGAACCAATGTAACTTTTGCACCCGCATAATCCTACACCCTTCCAAAACATCATGTCTGGTAAGTTGATGATGCGAATCCGTGAAACTCTTCCACTGTTTAAACCGAATGTGCGCCGCGCTAAGGCGAGAACCAGATTTTGAAAAGGAACCACCCTCAATCCATTAAACGCTTGCAAATGTTTAAAACGAATGCACGCGGCGCTAAGGCGAGAGACACACTTTGAAAACCACCCGCCCTCCATCTGTGAAACTGTTGCCACTTTGCTTCAGAGTCACAAGCGGTGAGGAAGTCTCAGGCGAATCGCTTGGCCCGCCCTAACAACTGGCCTCGGGGTGCGACAGGAAGAAGTTCGTTGTAAGGAAAAGAAATGGAGGAGGAGGAGAGAGATGAGGAGGGAGGAGGACAGGGAAGAGCTGCCAGGGGAGAGCAGGAACAATCAGGAGCAGGGGGGCGGAGGCAGCGAATTCGGGAGAAGCAGGGAAGGAGGGTGGAGAAGGCAGGCGGCGTCACCGAAAACAGGTAGGAAAAGGGGGAGAAGGGTCCCACTACACAGACACAGATGGAGGGCGGAGGGGCATACAAGTGGTAAGCACCTCCGAGGCCGACACGTGGTGGGTAGCGCCTCCCGCGGGTACAGCGCACGCCACCCCGTACGGGGTCCGAGTGGCGGGCTCCCGAGAGTACACCCACCACAAGGCTGGACAGGGGGAGAAGGAGGAGGGCTGACGAGGATCCGAGGTGGACGGCACTGCGTGCACTTGGACTGCGCTCTGCAGGGGGCCCCTCGGGGCAGGCCCCCCCTGCTGCGAGTGCCAGCCGCGCCGCGGGGCCTGCGAGTGCCGGCGCCGCGGGGCGGCGGGCGACACCCCGCAGGGGCGCCCCGGAGGACTGCCCCTTTGGGGCCCGCCCGACTGGCGCGCGCGCGCGGGCACGCGCGGGGCGCGCGGCAGCGCGCCAATGGCCTCCGGCGCGGTCGGCCACCTTGCCGTCGCTCGGACGTTCATTTCCCGTGCATCTTTCGATGTCGTGCGCGTTGTTTTTTGTTCGATGGTCCAGGATTGTCCTCGTGGTTTCTCGCCGAGAAGAAATGCACACGTCCAAGCGATGCCAAGCCACCAGTGGGATCGCACCGCGGAGCACCCAGCAAGGCCCCCGGCGAGCGGGCCGCTCCTTCCCCGGGGGGTCCCCGTCGCGGAGGGCCGGGAGCAGCGGACGGTTGCTGCCGGGTGCTTGGCCCCGCGGGGCCGTCATCGGGGTCCTCGTGTTAGGTCGGGCCGGTCCCCCTACAGGGGGATTTTGGGCGGAAAATTAAGAATGTCAAAAAACTTGTCAAAAGATGCCCTAGTTAAAAAGAAATCCCATATTATTGTTTGACTATTTTTGGATATCCCTCCTGTAGAGGGACATGCCCGACTTAATCCTCGTGGGCCGTCTGCGAAGCCGCTCGGCCAGTCTCCGCGCCCCCCTTGGGCCGCCGTGGGGCTCGCCTCGGAGCCTCGTGGCCCGTCCTGCCGCCCTCTCGCTCGCGTGGATCTCGTCCTGCCGTCCTGCCGCCCTCTCGCCTCGGAGCCTCGTGGCCGTCCTGCCGTCCTGCCCGTCCGGCCGTCTCGTGGATCTCAAGGCTGCCCCGCTCGCCCACGTCGCACGCGCTTCGTCCAGAGTTGCGTGCACATGACGTTGGGCTTAAGTCGGGCGTGTCCCCCTACAGGGGGATTTTCGACGGAAAAAACCCAAAACATACTCCAAAACGGTCAAACAAATACTCAAACAATAGTCCCCCGACTATTCTTTGACTATTTTCGAATATTCCCCCTGTACAGGGACAGGCCCGACTTAACGTTGGGCTCAAGCTTCGACTCACAAATCGCCCTGAGCACCGCCCGCCTTTCCGGCAAGCGCTGGCAGTCGCAGCCCGGCAGCCTGGCAGTCAGAGCGACTCCAACGCTACGCACCACTATCTTGTCCGACCGCCCCTTTTGATTGCCACTCGAGACCTCCCCGGGCGCCTGCTCTTCATCTTGACACGCCCGACATGGGTACGGAACATATTGGTACAATGCCCAACAACAAATGTCGTCCCAAACCAACAGCGGCCGCTGTTGGGCAGGCGGCCTTCTGTCTCGAATGGACACAGGCCGCGGCGGCGTGGACAGCGAGTCCTCTTCAAAATGAGCAAGATCCGCTGTTGGGCATTGTACCCATTCTTTCCTTGCCCATTTCGTTCATGCACAAAAAAACAGAAAAGATGTCATGGCCCCGGCCGTCAGATCCCCTCTGTAGTGCGTACGCGGCCGCAGGAAATTCTCGCAAGAAGCTCAGTCCTGGAAGCCCGAGCGGGAGATGCACACTAGGGGGAACCCAGAGCACCCTGAACGCAGCAGCTTCAACGGCCGCGGGAAGTCAGCGAGCAGCGCGCGGAGCGAAGAAACCCAGGATACCCTGACGAACCGCATCGTGTTTCTTGCTGCGCGTCCCCACTGTAATTAGCCATCGCTGAGGGGCAACAGCAGGGGGGCCTGGCAGAGGGTTGGGAAACATCGAGCTGGCATCGACGACGCGTCGCCGATAGATAGGCGATATGCCCCCGATGGTAACTCCCATTTTGGCGCCCGAAATCGGTACGGAAAACATTGGTACAATGCCCAACAACAAACGTTGTCCCAAATCAACAGCGGCCGCTGTTGGGCAGGCGGCCTTCTGTCTCCAATGGACACAGGCGCGGACAGCGAGTCCTGTTCAAAATCAACAGGAACTCCTGTTGGGCATTGTACCCATTCTTTCCGTACCCATTTCGTTCGTGCAGATCCCAGCGCTCCTGAGCGGGGTATGGCCATCAGACTGGGGATCTTGCCGTCGCTCGGACGTCCATTTCCCGTATAATTTTCGATGACGTGCGTGTTGTTTTTTTTTTTGCTCGATGGTCCACCCTATCCTTCCCTGTGCCCAAGAATCCTGATTGATCCATGGGATCGATCATTTCCTCGATCTTTTGACTTTGGGCTGATGGGATCGATCTGTTTGCTCGATCCCCGTGCCTGAAGTTCTCGGGCACCGTGCCCGAAGTTTTCGGGTACCGTGCCCGAAGTTTTTGGGGACCGTGCCCGATCTCACCGGGCCCGAAGTTTTTGGGGACCGTGCCCGATCCACCGTGCCCGAAGTCTTTGGGAACCGTGCCCGATCTCTGCGCCTGATCCCCGTGCCCGACGTTAGCAGACCCCTGCTGTGGTAGTGGTGGTAGTGGTAGTAGTCGTAGTGGGAGTAGTGGTAACAGCGATAATGGGAGTAGTGGTGCAAGTGGTAGTTTGGGGGT